TCGATTCAACATTTCTGAGCGAGTGCCTTCTCCTCCCTGCTGTAGCTCCGACGAGCTGTACGCCTACTTAAAACACTGCCGACCAGACCTGTGTATGCTTGAGGGAGGAAAGGAGGACGGGGAGGGAGACCGTGATGATGAGGAATTCGTACTCATTGAAGACGAGGAGGAGGAGGAAGAGGAGGAGGATGAGGACAAGCTGCTTCAGAGACACTCAGGGGACGACTGGGAGGTGAGTGGATTATTATTGTTTGGGTCTCACAGGATAACAGACGATGAGAGATGAGGTCAGTCGGACTTTTATGCCGATAATGGAGAATAACATGTTTGTAAGTTTGTGACCTGCACTGCAGGTTAAAACATTTGTTTCCTGATAAAGAAAAACTTGTTTTTATTAGAATATTCTAGAAGAAAAACAGCTTTTTTCAAATGTACAAGTGTCTTTTTGCAGATGGTGTTGATGGAGGAGAGTAGAGACAAGCCGCTCTTGGTCGTTGATAGAGACCCCGAAGGACTCAGTAATATTGTTGAGAACAGCCAGATTTTGGAGGCTTCACACGTCAGAGAGGTTGGTGACACCAAACAAGTGTTTATATGTGAGTTTTAATCATCTGATGATGTAAGCGCATCTAGGTTTAGCTTCAGAAGGGGACACAAGAAGTTAAAGGTTCTTTAAGTAAAGACATAATAAAGAAATTAAAACCGGGCTTATGATAAACAACAGCTTGTCTTTATACAACAGAAATTACTGTCCTTTTTTTTTGCATTTTTGAGAGTTTTTAAGTAAATATAAGTATGTATTGATGAAACTAAATATGCATTTGAAAATCATTTTAGCCTCCCAAGTTTTAAAGGGTTTCATCAGATTATAAGATAAATGTAAAGTGGGTTTTTGTTTTCTTACTTTGAAAGAGGAATAGCTAATCTTATTTAAAATGATGTAAGAAAAGAACTGTTTGACCTCATGAGCGACAGTATAATACAGATTTACTGCTTAGTGTTTTATGGCCAAGTATCTTCAGGAGACTATTTATAGAAAGCTGAGTTGGCTCACACACTGCTCTTATATAGATGTCCTAGAGTAGTGGCACTCGTTGTGTGGTGTTTCTGCTTAATTAAAGGTTGACAAGAAATGTCTTGATGCAAGCTCAATCATGCAGTTAAGGAATTCCCAGAAAGACGTTTCTGTTCATGTGCATAATGACCTGTAGTCAGCAGATGCTGAAGGAGTGACTGGGATGATTCTCCCACTGAAAACGCTACATTCACATGAGCAGAATAAAACTTGTGGGGTTGACAAGGAAGAGATACCATTACTTCTTCAATGCCTGTTATTATTATTATTATTATTATTATTATTATTATTATTACAGGTAGTTCATTATTCAGAAATGAATAAATGCCAGTTTCCTAATATTTTCTAGAAAACACACACAGATGGTATCTCCAGTATTTAATTGCTATGTCACCCTTTCTAATGATAATTTCATTTATTTTACTTCCCGCCTTTCATCTGTTTCCAGCTGTGTAAGGAGCTTCCTCCCAGGACTGTTGGCTACACGTGGCAGCTGGCTTACAGCACGTCGCGTCATGGCGCCAGCCTCAAGTCGCTTTACAGAAAACTCAGCGGCACGGACTCGCCTGTTATTATTGTCATCAAGGATGCGCTCGATGAGGTAAAAATGTACTGTCAGCTCTAGAGCCCGACCAGTCTAGGATTTTCATGACCGATATTTGGTGATTTTAAAATCTGATAAATCAGTAGACTACCAGCAGATTTCCCTAATGTTTGTTATGTGTAGTATTTATAAGTACTTGTTAAGATAATATGATTGTGCTTGCTTTACTGCCACAAGTCATAGATGACTGCTGAGGGCTTCCCATGAAGCACTGTTTCTTCTTCACTCTCCTTTTTCACTCACTATGTGTTTATACACCTCTCTGCATTTAATCTTTAGTTATTATTAATCGCTCGCTCTCTTCCACAGTCCTGTCTTCCTTCTTTCACCCCCAACCAGTCGTGGCAGATGGC